ATAAATGTTATATTTTAAGAAATTTATGCATAGTACTTCACGACAATTTTGCATATAATTTGTAATAATACTTGTAAACGCTTACAAATACCACAATTAGATATCATAAGACGGAACAGTTGCTTACTATCTTAACAGCTTACAATAACTTTTTTTTATCAGGTTCAATTTCTTATAACATTCAGTAATTCTGTTTTCATCCGTTTTTTATTCATGAATGACAAAATAACAAGCACCATATATGCACTAAACGTACGAATACATGTCTGTTAGGTACACATGTATACCTATAGGTATGTTTTCTCAACTGCAGCTGGACTTTGGCTGGTTTGGTTGCACTCCGCTGTACTCGGACTTTGATAGTGTGACTGTCAAACTTTTTATACATGTCTATATGTAGACAAGCAAACTACCATAAAAATTATTTAACATGATATGTTAAATGAGATTTTGGCGGGATATCTTACCTGAGATCTGAGGTGATATCTTATAAATATAACACCTAAAGTATTCAAGAAATTATGCAACTATTGTTACGTATATCTGTGTTTGGGTATCTGGGTGTTTGTAAATATTTGTAAGTCTTATTACTGAATGTATACAAAATTGACATTAAGTACAGTGTTTAAATTTCGCAATTTTTAGTGTGAATTTGTCAAAATCTTTTTGTCTTATCTATATTACTGATAAAATTTACTGAAAGCTTATCCTTATGCTTTTTTTCACTGCAAAAATGAAGCTTAAATATCAGGTGGTGAGTCAGGTAATTTATGAGATGATATTCACCTGATATTTTGAGATAATATTACACATGATCCTCGTAGACAGGGGTGACTGTGAGGTGTTCAGACTTACCAGAGAAACTCTCACTGTGCTCATGGTATGATAAGTATGGTATCAGTAAAGTAATTGGATAATGGTTGCAGCAATACATTTTCACACAGACGTATTGAGTGGGTGATCTCAGTGGCTAGGCCATTAGGCTACCACAGTTACTTGACAAAAAAAAGATAGCTGATGGTTACATAAAAAAGAAAAAAATCAAAAAACAAAAAAATTATTGAGAAATTTTAAAAACTTTAATAAGTAACTATCAATAATAAAATCTACTAAAAGAAATAGTAAATACTGCTGATAAAACCAATTGTTTTGATCTGATCTGGAATGCTGATTCAAACTGATCGACGTTCATGCTGCTTTTAGCTACTGAAGTCGATTTTTTCACGGATGGCAATTGCGCATGCGAGTAACAAAAATGAAAATGTTCAAGAAAAATATTCAAATAAGAGTTTGATTCAACAAAACTGTTATTGATTAGAATTCCCATGAAATTCGATGAGAATTCAGATTATCATATGTGATAAAATCGAATTATTTGTCTAAGTTTGTTTTAGCTCAATAGACAGAGTGTCAGCTTCCAGATTTGATGATTCCAGATTGAAAACATCATTCCTAAAGTCTTCAAAATTTTACTGTGTAATAATTTCCAACTCTATAACATTAGTGAATTTATTTTGATATAATGTTATGTAATTACCAAGTGCTCCGAAAGAAGATTTTTTTAAAAACTTTCTGTTTTTTAACCATTCATGTCGATTGACTTTAATCAACGTGAATAAAAACATACATTCTGATCGACTTACATACATTAGCACCATTAAAATTTATAGGTTTTTATCGGATCTGATGGTATTTATATAAACCATTGAAATAGATTAAATGTTCTTAAATCGATCCTTATCAATCTTTTATAAGAAATTTTTCACTGTAATTAGAGAATGATACATGGCGCTACAGCTCGTAGAAAAAGTTGGAGGCCTTGAGGTACGCCAGTGGCATCAAATTTATGTAGTTCACAAATATCTTTAGAGAGCTTCAATGCTTTAGTGGTTAGTATGCTAGCCTCCTAGCCAGAGATACTTGAGGGGCCATGGGTTCGAATCCTGTCGAAAATTTTTGGGATATTTTTCTCGGGCTTTTTTGATGAGATGAGTATCCACGATGCCGAAAAATCACTCATCTGATTTTTATAATTAACAGGTAATTTTTCTGATAATGTCTAAACCTCCAGGGGCTTTCTTTTGAAAGGAAAGACAACACCTAGCCAGCTCACCGAGTAAAGTTCACTGTTTATTATAAAAAGGTCGGTACAGTGACTAAGACGGTTTACTGGAAAATATCTTTCTATTAAACTTAATGATAGCTGGGATGTGCTTGAGACAATCACTACACCCCGTAAATAGTACCCAGTAGGATGGATAACCAATTTGTCTGGGGGGAACTTTTCAATGGGCCCGGACAAAAGACTCGCACACTATGCGTTTAGGGTAAAAAATTAATTAAAAACAAAAAAGGTCACTGATATAGAAAAAGCTAAAAATAGTCCTAGGAATCGAAAAACTACAGATATCTTCGAATATCTTAGAAGGTGAGTATTTTATGGTACAACATGAAGCGTAAATGTTGTAAAAAAACTTGACTATAAGTAAGTGTCTTTTAATTCCATACAAATCAGAGCAGGCATTTTCATATTACAACCATTGAAAGTATAAAAAGTCTGCCAAAGTACCATGTATATATAGTACTCGCTGTGAGGATGGAGACCAGCAGCACTGCAGCGGATTTTTCCCAAGACCTGAACGTGTCGTGAGCCATTTATTGTGCCGTGATACATACGGACTCGGTGACATAATTATTCATTGCAGTTAATTGAGAGCTCGTGGTACTCTGCACTTTTAATGTATAAAAGATAGTGCAATAAGTTATTCATGAAAAATATAATAATTGGCTGACAGTAGTATGGCTCTGTTTTAGTTACAAAAAAAGTACAGTCGTCGCCGTCTTCATTGGCACAGTGGCTGCAGTCGACAAACACACACAGAGAGATACTCACGTTAAAACACATGTATATATACCCATAACCTTTTTGGGTCATCCTACATATTTGTTGGTGATACACAGCACTGAGATAGGTTAAAAAATTTTTTATGGATAACTCACACAAATTTTAATATATTTAAAGTGCAGAGTACCACGAGCTCTCAATTAATTGCAACAAATATTCGTGTCATCCAGTCCGTATCTTTTATGGCACAACAATTGGGTCACGACACATTCAACTCTTGCAAAAAATCCGCTGGAGCGCTGCTTGTCTTCATCTTCACAGCGAATATAGTACATCTAAATGGTGCGTTTAATTTTGCTTCCAGTGTTACTATATATATAATAAAACAGGTGCAACGCCTAGTTTTTGCTTGATTTTATCAAATTTTTAACAGCTATAAAGCTAGAAATCTAGCTCTTATTTAAATGGAAGAAAAAGGGCATTTACTAAAAATTAAAGTAACTGTATGTTTTACGCTTTATATACCAACGAAGATCGCTTAATTTCTTAGATATTTTAAGATATCTACCGTCTGCGTAGATTTAATGCCATTGACTTTCCCCTTGGTTTCACTCAACTGACACCATAAATGCCGGTGCGTATTGTTTATCTCCTTCAGGTTCATGCTCAGTGCCAATAGAGTTCGCATGGAACAATGAAACATTATACTGAAAAATAGCACTATCCTCTGTTATTTTTTTATCGCAATGACAAAGTTTCTAGCCATGGGACGATGCTGATGTTTACTTTAACTTGAAAGTTTAGTTTTACTTTAAAGTAACAGTATATTTTTATTCATACAAGTGAGCTTGATTCAAAAATATGATAAAAATCGCAATAATTTAAATAACTGTTATATTTTCTTAAAATTAGTAACAATAAATAACAAATTTCTGTATACAAGCTTTTAAAAATGTATAAGCTTAGATAGATAAAGCAAAATAATTATTGTTTTATAATTTTTGATTTGATTTTTTTTTTTATAGCTGGATTAGTCCAAATTGGGTAAAAATTTTCGTAAGAGTTAATTCTACAATTGATTATTATTATGATTCTGTGGACTCAAAAATAGCGATGATATGTATGACGAATAAGAACGTGCAAACTATTTAAATGCTATCACGATCTGGTTACTCGTCCACTCTATAGAAAATTTACAACATGATGTCAAAAAACAACCCAGGTTTGAATGAAAGCTCTGAGACCTGAATAATTAATTACTTATTCTAATACAAGTCAGGATGATGAAAAATTTTACGTAAAATTCTTAGTATAAATTACAATTAAGTAATCCAACAGAAAGTTGGACCTATTTTTGTTGACATTCATACCTTTCAATGCCACTTTTTTAACTTCAGTCTCAAAGAAATAATAGAAAAATACAAATGTAAATGTTTACAAACTATATAACTTGTCCAACAAACGCTTATTCTCTTCAGTCTTGCTTAAAATATAAAAAGAAAAATGAAAACCATCAATGAGTTAATAGCTTTGTCAATAGTAATTAACATTAGTTTGCTGAAATAAAGTTAATTAAGTATCGGTATCAGTATAAATATTTTTGATAGCATCTATTGAAAAATTTCATTGAAATCGTAATTTAATAAAATATTTTAAATATCTTTATATAGTACTCAATATACTTCCTTCCTAATCCCCAGCTAATCGATGATTTCTCTTTTAAATAATTAACAGTAAAGGGTGAGTCTACTAATATTTCAAATATCAAATATCAATTTCTACATAATAATGTTAAAAGTATTCCATTTACTCTTAACATTATAATATAGAAAAACTAAGATGTAATTTTTGAAAAAATATTTACTTCCTCTTTTACTGGACTTTAATTACAGCTGTGTCAATACCACAGCACCTTCTTGAGACAAAGATGTTCATAACATACTTTTGAGTGTTGGTGCAACTTCTAGAAAATAGCATTAAGACACGTAATGTTCGTTAAAAATGACAAATACAAAATTTAACTTAGTAAAATATCGTCAACAAATATGCTTTATTGGCCTGCACAGTGTTTTACCAATCAAACAAGTTTTAAATGTGAAAAATAGCACTAAATATAAGCACGAAACTCTTAATAGGATTTGCAAGACGGGCTTACCTGTTGAGACCTGCAGTTGGTCGCAGTAAATGATGCTAGGCCCTAAGATCTAGTGTGGAGAGTTGGGAAATAATCTACTAAGTGAAGAAAAGACTGGTGAGCATGCAATTAACTATACGTGTAACGTGTGATAGAGCGGTGTGATAAGCAGCGTGATGCCTATCAAATTGTAGCACTTCTGACTGCTGACTCTCAGTCAAAAGCCACTCTCTTGGTTACATAAACATGTATAGGTGCAATAGCAAACGTCACGGTCACACTCACTTTTTAACCATGCGTTGTGAACAGTACATAGATATGTCATTTTCCCTTTATCACTTAGTAGCGTTTACATAACATCCAAAAATGCTATATTAATGAAAGATAACAAGAGTGCCTGAGCATTTCTGTGAACCAATAGATATTTTAGAAACAATTACAACATACTTCATTCTATTCTGCTAGAGCAGCTCACTAACTGGAGAGATTATTAGAGTCATTGATACATAGACATAGTAACAGACAGCGGTACACCGACACAGCTGTAGCAGATCTTGTGTTAGTTGCTCAATATTGATAAATGACATTAATGTAGACCAAAAATCTTAAATGACTACGCAAAGCCCCTCTGCTTATGAACATGGCTTCTTATTGGCAGATTATGCTATTTCTGTGTTTATGATATAAGTTCAGTAAAATCTTTGCTGAAATTACATTTGCTTTTTATAGTTACTTTTTTCACATCTTGTATTTTGAATTGTAAGTACCATTGTTAGAATACTAAAAATTTATGTAAGCTTGTGATTTGAGCAAAATCCAAATGTAATAATTTTACGTCCATTTTGGACACGATTTTATAAAAATTTGGGGAGCAAAAGCACGCACGCAGGTCAAAAATTTAATCAATTACAATTGCGTGAGTGAAAAATAATTTACTACAGAAAATTATTAGCTTACGTCTTAATAGGTGTTATATTTTATAAATAACAGCTGTAATAAATTAGTTGCAAGAAATTACATGTTTAGAGAAGAGAGATGTAGCTGCTGTTGTGCAAAATTGTGCAGTCACTCTTTCTTCTTTATCCGTTTTTTTTCACTAATTTTTTTACATCAGCTTTCCTTAAGGTCTAACATTATTTGTTGTTTTTAATATGTTTTTGCTACTTTAATTTTTGATATCTATAATAAGTACTTAAAATGTAATTAATCTGAGTTTTTCGTACAAATTCTAGGTGGTTTCGTGACAAAGCTTGTAAAGTTTTATCTCAGAACATCACAAAAGTTATAAAGAATCTAAATGCAAGTTATGTAAATAATGTGGTAAGTGTAAGAATTTAGTATTTTTTTAAATTTCATATTGTCTTACAACATAAAAAATTTTTAAAGTCTATTGATAGAATGATTTTTTATTTTAAAAAGCTTAACTTACGAACAAGAATCTCCTATCATGTTATGTGGCTAACATACTTAGTAATACGTAATATTTTATAATAATTTAGTATTTAGCCTGAATTGCATTTATTATTCCGCATAATTAGCTATATAAATTATTACTTACATGGAAGTAAGTTAATTGATTATAATCAGGTTTTATTGACATGACTCAGTTACAAATTCATAGGTACGATTATGTTTAGTAATAATAGCTATAATTATAGCTATAATTACAACTATTATTAATTATCTCCGTTTATAACTATACATGACTATAAAGTGGCTAGAAAGACCTAAAAACTTTAGCTTCTGTAAGTGAGATCGTAAGTGTTTACAGCTGTAAATTTTGCGCCAGTTACGAAGAAAGAAATTTGTTTAAAACTGATTTTTTTTTATAAGTACATGACTGGATGTATGACGCCTATCATAGGGATGATAACTTAAAAATTATGGGATTCAGAAATTCTTGAACAGTATTTTAAAAAAATTTTTTTTGTTAGTCCACAACAATTTAAAGCCCTTAGGTTTGGTGTTACTATAGAGATGCTAATGTCACTTGTGGCTAGTACATTTACCAGAAAATCAGATTTGGAAACAATTTTTCTTAAACATTCATACAAAGTTTATAAGTAGCTATAAATACACAATATTAGTAGAAAAATTTTGTAGGTCAGAATAGCCACATTGTAGTTTAATATGGCTATAAATATAGGTGATTGTATAGCTATAATGATAGTTTTCAATAAGTGCCATAATTATAGCTATAAACTTTTGGCTCACAAATACCTCATAGTTTTTCAGATTATTCCTTCCTATTGCGTTGAGCATGAAAGAGTTACTAGTAGAATTGTGTGTTTTTATTTGTGCACTTAAGTCATCCTTCAATAAAAAATGTTACTATACCCAAGCATCAATATTTTTTATAATATAAATTTACCACACGTTATGTTATTTGGCAGTAGTCATAAAACAGTAAAGCACCTAATATCATTGGCATAATTCAGTGAGCAACTACATTAAACATTCATTGATTACAATGCAAAGGTATTGTTAAAATGTGTATAACATTTCTATAATAGGGACTAGAATGATTCTGTTAGAGTTGTGTGACTACTCATTTTAGCTCGTCAAATCACCGATTTTACCCTATCAACCTAATAACACTAGGAAAAAATTTTTGTATTCGTATCAATCATCATTCTTTGCAGAAGTGCTAATTAGTTAAAAAATATAGTTATAATGTGATCAACTTGTTGAAAAAGTTGAGGTTTTTTAAAAAGTTTTTGTACAGTAAATTCCAACTTACAAAATAAAACTTGACATTTTCAGTTGAATTTCATGACTTTATAATTCAGAAGTTCTATATCACTTAAAACTGTTTTTGATTTTTATCGCGTAATAGTAACAGTTAATACGAAAGGCTGTTGTACCCAATTCAAAAACAAAACAGCTTGATTTTAAATTTAAAAATGTATAAATAATTTGCAATTAATTTAATGATGTATTTTATATTATGAAAAATGTTAATGCTTGGGTGTGGTAATAAGTTTTATTGAAAGACGACATAAGTACAGTAATGAAGAACGCACAATTGAATTAACAATTTTATAAAAATCGTTTAAATTTTTTTTTATCTTGAAATACATAATCATAATAAATTTGTTGTCGATTACTAATAGTAGAGAATAAATAACTTACGTTACTAATTGTAACATTAATAACACGACCAACTTGCCTAATCTTTAACTTTTGTCCAAAACAGTTTTTATGGGAATATTACAACTTTTACAGCAAAAAATTAACTTGGAAACCACAGTATAGGTATACAAGATAGTTTCAATATTTTTCTTCTACTTATATTAGCCTTAAAACACTGTTACTTTTCAAATTGTTCTAATAATATACATCTTGCACCTTTTGGCCATTGTTTCTTCACAGCAGTCGAATCCTCTACATTAAACCTTATATTATTCTGCCACAACATAAATGAGTGATTAGTCAGTAGCTGTAACAACTAAAATGTAAATGTTAGTAAAGAAAAAATGTATCATTTTACAATAAGTTTTCTGAGGATGATGTGCTTGATATTTAAAAGCTTTTTAAATTTATACACAATAATGGCTACATGATGATAGAAGCGTTCCTGATAGTTTAATAAAAAAATGGATGCGCAACGCCATTAACATCTGGTATTTTAACATCATGCTGTGATTGATAACAAATTTGTTACAAAACATCTTCTCCCTCAGTGAGAAGGCTGACAAAGTTAGAAAACTAGACCCCAGCCGCACTACTTGATATTTAAGATAATTAAAAAAAAAACTTTTCTTACAACTTTGTATATGCTACGGAAGCTCGTACATGCCACCTCTGCTAATCTAGACTAATGGATAGAAAATAAAAAGTTTTCTCTAAAAAGTGCCATTCGTGACAAGATTAGCATTTATCTTCTACTCAAAAATTCACCTTTAAAAATGAACCCCTTAATCTTATTTAAAAATCATTATTTAAAATTATAAAAAAAGGCATTTGATGTGACAAAAAAAACGTTATTTTTTCCTTTATAAAATCAGAAAATTTCTGCAAGCTTGGTTTGTATTCTAATGCATATTACTGTTAAAAACGATTGGTAAAGTTGTTGCAGGGGTTATTTTTATAAACGAGAAGTCAATTTTTTGAAAGGAGATAAATCCTAATTTTTGTTTTATTTTCTATCCATTCGTCTTGATTGTGACCATTACATAATACTGGTCACATTGCACTTCGTAAATACTAACATAACTTTTAATTAAAATAAAATATGACAAAAATACTTCGTATCTCCACCAACAGTAAGATTTCTTCAATTTCTGTGAATGGTGCCGCTGGTATTAATTTTTAACCACCTAAGGGCCTTAGCCTTAGCCTCAGCTCTTAGTCTGAGATAAAGTCTGATATCTGCATGTATCTTTATGAATATCTGGGTTCTGGTTTCTATCTTCGATAAACCAAGATTGCATTCAAAATTTAGTGTTACAATACCTGCAGTACACATTAAAATTAGAAGCTCCCGTCCCCTCACAGGTGAATGAGGAATGTATTCTGAAAGCTAAATCCAGAGGGCATTAGGACCACTCGGTCCTGATTTATGAAAGTATTAGTGTATCTGTCTGAGTGTGTGTTATTGTGTGTCGATAAACTGTCGACAAACTTGACGATCCACGTTATCGACAAATAGTATGTATACTGGCGCTCTCTGAACTAAGCTTTCACCATATACTCCTTATTGACAGTCACATCGAAACTTGATCATGGATATCAAAGTTAAAATTTAGACTCCTGATCACAAAACCTCGATACATCTCGATAATGTTTGATATATCGCAAAACTTGCGCTCTTATTAGAGGTCTCTTTTTCACTCTCATGGACTTACATAGTTCTGTATTGCGGATCAGTTGCGTATTCTATGTGACCATAGCCTTAGTTTTTGTAGTGATTCTCTAGTTTGTTTAAAATAACCTAACCAATCAGAGAGCTATAATGAAGGGTATCGACTTGTATCGGAGTGTTGCGATTAGATCTTTGAACAAACAAGCATGCATATGAGTGAGTCTTATATGAAATTGAAGTATAAAATCAATAATAATTACCTTCGGTAGAGCCAAACATCATTTCATAAATATATCACGTAGCACATGGAAGGGGCTCACGCTGATATACGTATTAAGCCTACCTGGTGACATGTGTAGTTCTAGCCCGTTGTGCGTGTACGCACTAGTAAGGTCATATGCATGGCCCACTTCTTTC